GAAAGAAAACATGACAACACTTTCAATAACTACTAACTTTCATAACAACATTCTCGCCTCTTGAAAGGTACAGCAGTTAGGTACTATTTTAGATTTTTACCATACTGTTTACTATTTTATCCAACTGAGGAAGGCTGAGTTTTCAGCCGAAACATTTTGGTTGTATTCATGAAATTTCAGCCTTGTTACCCGTTTTTTAAATTGTTTTTTTATTGTAATGGCACATATCGACGGTGTAAGTCGGCAATCACGTAACTCGGTTTGCGACGTCGCAGACTTCCTGTTATACTTCATTTCTTAAACGGAAAACTACTCAACGGCAATTCTTTAAAACTGCCGTGATTTTACTTCTCTGTGCGAAGAAAATTCTGCTGAAACTTCAAGAAATGACGTCAATTTGTTCTCCTTTAAATAATAACATAGAGGCGGAGATTTTCAGACACCGCAAACGAGATACATATCGACGGTGTAAGTCGGCAATCACATAACTCGGTTTGCGACGTCGCAGACTTCTTATCTTACTTTATATCTTATCTTTACATTCTTATCTTTACATTTAAATGGAAAACTACTCAATGACAATTCTTTAAAACTGTCGTGATTTTTCTTCTCTGTGTGAAGAAAATTCTGCAAAAACTTCGAGAAATTATGTCAATTTATTCTCCTTTAAACAAATATTATAGTGGCGGAGATTTTCAGACACCGCAAACGAGTTCCGTGATTGCCGACTTACACCGTCGATTTTTGATTGCGGACTTACGCCGTCGATATGCTTCTTCTTAACTGAGCCGAAAATAGTAGCTCCTTATTGAAAATGTATTCCGAACGTGCTTGGACTCACCAGTGCCGTTGGCGTTCAAACCGGGTATCCTCTGCGATGCGTCGGGCGTCGCGGCGCTGGACGTCGTGGGCGCCGGTGAAGGGATGGACGTTGGCGTCGGTGTTGTCGCGAGGGGGGCGTCCGGGGTCCGTAGTCGCGGGGGCTGCCGCTCCATTCGACGTTGAGTCACGGATTTCCACAAGCGCAGTTCTCAAGGAAGCGAGGCTAAGAAGTCATGCTTCGGTCTCGGATCGTGGACTGGCCGCGGACATCCGCCGCGTCCCAAGGAGCCAGCGCCGCCCGCCCTCCCCTCCCGCCGCTCCCCTTCAAGGAAACGAAGGGTTGAAAAAAGGAGAGAAAAAACTCCCCGGAGAAAGAAAAAACGCCCCACCGCGGCCCTCCGCCGCGTGCCGACCGCGATTCGCTTCCTCGGTTGCCTACTCTCGCAAGCATGGAAAATTACGCAAGATGTGAGTATTAGAGTGTGCGCCTGGGCCGCTACGCGGCCCACCCTCCGGAGTACGCTTCGCGCTCTCTGCGTTGCTTCGCGGGTCCTTGTGATATTTGAGTCGGTGAGAACAAAACACACCAACTCGAAAAAAATGAATATAATCAAGACACATACAAAACTGCACAGTAGGTGAAGAAATTAGTCTAGGAAAAAGATTTTTGGTGCAGAAAGACAAGTACTTAAAGATACTTTAAAGGTCCAAGTTAGAACAGATGCACTGAAAAAAAAATCTCGGTGTATTTACTAAGAAAAGGGTAACATTACCAAGAATTCAGGGTTCTATTTGATCCCAGTTTTTCCTTGGGAAAATTACCATTTATGGAATTGGTAATTTTACCGAGAAATCTCGGTAAAATTGTTGAACTTTCTCGGTAATTTTACTGGACCTTGGTAAAAACGCCAATATTTTTTATCGACTGTGGTAGAATTACCGAGATAAAATGGCGAAGTGACCGGGGATTGATTACCAATAAAAGTGGTATTCTTACCTGAAAGTAACATTAAAAATACCGATTATTAGGTAAGCTTACCAGTCTGTTTTGGTAAAATTACCAATAATCGGTAAAAAAGTGAGATGGTTAAGGTACCAACGGACCGTGGTAAAAACGCCGAGAATTTTTTTCAGTGTTCGCGGGTCCTTGTGATATTTGAATCCGTGAGAACGAAACACACCAACTCGAAAAAAATGAATATAATGAAGTCATATACAAAACTGCACAGTAGGTGAAGAAATTAGTCTAGGAAAAAGATTTTTGGTGCAGAAAGACAAGTACTTAAAGATACACTAAAGGTCCAAGTTAGAACAGATGCGCCAACTTCAATAACTTTTATAAAAATTGACTGTCTTGAAAATTGAAATTTTTGAAAAAATTGAGCATTTTCGAGTTACCGAGTTGGTGTGTTTTCGTACTCACTGATTCATTTATTGGGCTCGTCTAGCGACTATCAGTATCTTCTGTCGGTATCCGCAAAAATCATGAAAATCGGCCTGGTGGTTCTTTAAAACGAACAGCAAAGATACTTATTGCATTGAACCATTGCATGGTTTCACCTGACAACTATTGTTTTATTATTGAAGGGTAGGTACGTTTTAGCTTATGAAGTTTCAGGACATTTTCGTCAAATTACAAAAGAAAGTCGCAAATAGCGTCGCGAAGAAACCATTTAACCGTTTTTGAGTAAGTAAGATAATTGTCAGTCGAAATTTATTCTTCCAATAACGCAGTTGAGCCTCTCTGATTTTCATCATATCTCCTTATTTTGTCCAAGTCAACGGTTGAAAACATATTCATTTTCTGCTGATCAGGTAGTTATCATTTTTATACGAAATCACCAAACGTTTAGACACCTGCAAATCCTCAAAAATTGTGAAACCATACCGAAGTCATGACGTATAAAATTTGCTTTTCTTTTTAATGAAATGGTTATTTGCTCAGTACCTTACCGTCAAATAAAACGTCTTTCGTCAGTAACGTACCGTCAAATAAAACGTTACTCGTCGGTCCTGTTGCCTTTGCTATAAAAATCTCCCTAGGAATGTGCAAAAGTTATGTTTTAACAATTTAAAACTGACGTATATTTTACACTGCGGTCCAAACTTTAAGAAACGCACTAAAAGAAGATTATTGATGATATGGTTATTTCCAGGCATCTACTGACGGGACAAATTTCTTAACTCCTCAACACATCATCTCATCATAAGCGGAACTGATTAGAATCGAAGTAAAACGATACACCGTCAGAAGATGCAGTAGTTGAAAGAACATTTAATGTGAATAGACGTGGCTACACTACTGCAAGCAGCTATTACTGCTCCTGCGCCGCTCAAGTTGCCTACTTCAATATTGAAGGCGCACTGGTCTGAGTGAGCGCGCGACGAAGACCTGTTGATAGTATAGCCCACTAATACAATTTTTCATGAGCATGAACGTGGTTAGATTACCACATGTCCAAAATTTCCGTATTAATTTACCTACCTGATGAATAAAGTTCTATTTAAATATATACTGTATCGAAGAATGACGTTTTATACGACGGGATGATACCGACGACTGACGTCAGCCTTGAAAAAAGAGGTTTTAAATCAGTGATTTCCAAAGTTTTCATACGTAGAGTGGTTAAGGATTAAGGAAAGAAAGTTGGTGTTTAGCGTTTTATTTTGATTAAGGCTCTTCAAATGGTTCATTCACTGAAGGCGACGAAGAACTTTAAAATCTAAGCACAAATTTTGGTCACAAATGTGTATATGTTTTTGCACATGCGTTAATGGTAACATTATGGAAAGATAAGATATTTTCACAAATGTATTTATAAATAAGCTCGCATGCACGAATTAACTATTTGACAAAGGTATGAACAAAACAATGCACGGGGGAAAATTCTAGTTCAAGATACCGTACGAATGACAGTGCCCTGCTGCTAATTTGAGGAACCATTTGGAAGTATTCAAGTCATAGGGAGCAAACTGCATTACAATTTCCTAGGATCTCTTTTTGTACTTTATTTGTTTAACGAAACTTCAATGAAGATGACATTCTTGTTCGAAATTATCTTTGTTTTTATACCACTTTGCGAGAAGTGGTCCTTTAGAATTTCGAAACATCTTGCGGAACCATCTTCACTTTAAAAAATAAAACACATGATTACTCAAAGCTATATAACCATCCTAGGAGGAAGCGTCTCAGGCACCATCATACTTTGAATATATTTTACTAACACGTACTATACTCATTTTGACTCACCCACAAAAACACCTATCTGCATGGGAAAACTAATGACACATACGTTGTTCGTGAAGTGAGCCAAAACTTGGAATTCCCTGTTGCAAATCCCATTTCATGATGATATACTAAACAGCATTACAAGGGGAGGGGGGAGGGAAGGCAAAAATCTGAAAAAGGCGTTCAGTAACACTTGAACTATCTCCAAGGATGAATTGGGAGTATATTTCCAGCATGAATAAGTCCATTTGAATTGTTATGAGGTTTCAAACGCTTAAGCTTCACATTTCCGAAAAGCGGCATGATTTTCATAAATGCTGTCAGGCCTGCAGTACCTCCAACTAGAATTTTCTCCTTAAATAAATAAATACATTTTTATGACGGATAATAATATAGTAGCGACAATATTCAAATTGGTATTCGGATATTAGTAACTTGATGCCAGTTGGAAAACGTGAACGTCCTTCAGTACTGCCATTCTGAGGAAAAACGTCGTATGAACATTCAAATTTTGTTAAATTTTCCCTGAAAAAATACTTAAATCCAAGGAAAGTTATGAATATGTTTTCTTGAAATACTTCAGATCAAATTGCGATTAAAATTGGAAAAAATCTGAAGAAAATATTTACAAGTTTTTCAGAAAATTTGCATTTTAGTAGAGGGAATCTGATGACGTCTGAAGGCTCACACGGCGTTATTTCTTAGCATGGCAGAATACTAGCGCACAGAGATAGATTATCGACGGTGAATCTGTCAGACCACGTATCTCGATTGCGGTGCGTAAAAATATCCGCTCTTATTTTATTTTTTTAAAGGAGAAAAAATCAACATCATTCCCTGAAGTTTTTGAAGAATTTTATTCGCACAGAGAGGAAAAATCTCGAAAGTTTTCAAGAATTAATGTTGAGTGGTTTTCCATTTAAAAAGTATAGTGTAACAGGAAGTCTGCAATGTTAAAAACCGGTATACGTGGTCTGGTAATTTCACCGTAGTTATGTATATCTCTTGTACTTCATCAGTTCAAACAATTTCCGAGCACGTGTATGCATCATTTCACTGAAATTTTACTCCTCATGCCGCAATTTGTTGAAAAACAAACGGACGTATTTCTGTCAAACGGAACTATGTGACGTGAGCCCTGTCATGCATATATTCTTATGGGTCTCAGGGCTCATGTCTGAATGCACATAGTTTCGTTTGACAGGAATACACAATGTTCGGGTCATCGTTCTATTCTAAAGGCATAAATTAATTTTATAAGTTACTGTTACGAGGAATCGTAATCTTCAGCTATCACAGAGATTCTTAATTTTCAAACAGAAGGAAACAATTTGTGTGGAGGCTGTAAGAGCTGGAGCCTGGAGCAAGTGTCATCACGTGACGTTATCTTTGAGCCAGTCGAGGTATTTTGATACGCGGGTGTAGACACCGGGATAGCCGGGCTCCCCGCATTTGTTCCCGAAGGAAACGATTCCCACCTGCATCCAGTGCGATCCCTGTTTCAAGAGGAGGGGTCCTCCAGAATCTCCCTGAGGAAAAATCAAGTAACAAAAACTAGATGTAATTAAAAATGAAAACAACGTCATTCTATAAAAAGGCAAAAAGTCAATTTGGAAAAACAAAAAAATCTTCAACGGCCCCTAAAAATCGAGCTTCATGGGCCACATGGCTCCTGAAACTCATAAGTGAGTTTCGAACACTGCATGACACATGCATCATTTTAAAAATAAGCCAGAAGTAGTACTTCTTATCGTATAATGCAGTCCAATCTCATCACAGTTATTCCTCAGTACACCAAATCCCCTGAGGATGAAAAATTCAACTGAATGTGGGACTTAATAGACGTCGTCATTCGTGAAGACGGATCCGGGACGAGCCCGCGCAAAGACTCGGAGGGAAGATCGTAGCTGATGTCATATCATCCTCCTCCCTCCTCTTTTTCTTCTCTTTTTTCGGTCCGGTCCGACGAGCAGCCTTTTGTTTTAACCCCATATTTGCACGGTTACTGAGCTCCTGCGGTAGATATAGATATACCAGCATTGGTGAATTAATCCTCGTTTAAATATTTGCAGAGTTGCCACTTCCGCTGAAAAATCCAGTCTCACGATAAGATTGACGAGGAAATAGGTGAATTTCGGCGGAATCCGGCACCCCTGGGGGTTTCGTTGCCGGATTGAAGAAATAATCAACGGAGGGTGGAATCTTACTGACATCGACTCTTATTTTGAGTCGGTGGTCATCAAGTGGCGATCCGTGAATGTTTCCCCATGTTCTCATCGATGTTTCCCCATGTTCCCATCGATGTTTCCCCATTTAAAGCTTTGGTAAAGAACTGATTCTTTAGGTGTTCGTTACAAGCGCCCTGTTTTCCGATCCTATTCCACAGGTTTAAAAGGCAGATCAATCGATGTATCGCAAAGCACGCCACGTCATTGCAGTCATCGTGGATGAAGGAAGTAAAATTTTAAAGAATTGATGAGGCTTTCTTGAAAAACAAACTTTCAAATATTTTGAAAATCGTCAAAAGTTGATTAACTGCCCAGGCACTTCACGGAATGTCTGATTTGATCACTTTTGGCGACACATTAATTTAAATGAAAGAGCCAAAATTCCTTATGGCGAATGGCGATGGTCAACATTTTCAATTTTTGCATCACTATTTTCCATCAAGCGCTTTGATCATCAAAACCGAGGGTTGTCATAAGGCCGAAAACTTCAGAATAGACGAAATTAGTCGAAGTTTAATTGTTGTCAGAGAAATTTTTCCACCGTGGACAATGATAGAGTGGGCACAAACCTGACAAGCATCTTTGCCGCCCTCCTTCAGGCCGGCGCAGAGGAAGTTCTCGGTGATGGGCTGGAAGTAAGTTTTGTCACATTCAGCGTTATTCCAAATAGGTAGCTCAGCTTGGCGTTGTACGGTGCTCTCCTTCCCACCTGTGCAAAATTCCCAAGAACTTTAAATACTTGAAAAATTTGAAACATGGCTAGGTGGCTCGCCGATGAAGCTCCTACATGTGTCAGGAATTTGCGATTTAAGTTCAGTTTTCTGCGTAAAAGTTCTCGAGAAACACGATGGTGTCACTAGTTTTCTCTAATATCAACTCCAAAGCTCAAAAAGCTTTCAAAGTTGAGGCCGTAATGGAGGGGATGTACCACGCTACCCTGAGAGTCCATCTCTATATCTAATCAAACTCTCCACGCAAGGATAGGGAGCATATACATTGGCAGGATTGCTGTGTTTTCAGTTTTAAAGTCCCTTAATATATTTGCTCCCTATCTTTCCACAGAGAGTTTGTGTTGATAGAGGTGGACTCCACGTATAGCGTGGGATATCCCCTCCATTACGGTCTCATCTTTGAGAGCTTTTCTTGAGCCGAAACACTGGAATTTGCCATTGGAATTTGCCATTAAAATGTATGTGAAACGATCGAAATAATTTATCGTGGTAGGCTGCTTCATTTAGAATAATTGATCCTTGATCCTTCATAAAGGCTTTGAATGAACACGACAAGCGTTATCAATTTGCGAGAATCGTCAATACAAGTAACACGTGATCCACTATTAGTGCCTTTTAATTTTTACAAAACTTAAGAAAAAAAATCTGCATTTTTAATTTTAAAACACAATATTTACAGGTCACGGCCTAAAAAGGCCCTAAAATCCCTATTCAAAAAGGTGTAATATGAATCAAAACACGGCATGTCCAGTGGCCAGCAACATCTTTGATAAACTTCCATAAAACTAAATTAGAGGCAAAAAAGTGTCCCTGTGGATCTACCGCTCAATCTATAATATCATTAAATTGAATTTATTGGTTTTGTAAAATCAAAATTTTCGGTCTGTTGAACCAAAATGACGGTTTATACGTTACCGAGATTTGCATTTATATTTTTGAGTGTTTAGTTAAAAAATCTTTTCAATTTTTTCGATTCGATAAAATTTTAAAGTTCGGCTACATGGACCGAAATTCCGGTAGCACGATCCACACGTGAAGTTTCAAAGACTACTGCGCTACTTTAAAAATAAAACGTTTGATTCACCCAGCTAATTTTTTCACATCGCAACTTTGGCTGGTTAAATGAAAATCCAAGAAAAGGGGTAGCTAAGAATGATTCCACAAGAGTATCAATTTATTCGTAAAGGATCAGTTTCTCCGGATGTACTAAGATTAAACTTTATATCAGTGACGTGGCGTGCTTTGCGATAAATCGATTTTTATACCATTTAAACCTATGTGGAAAAGGATCGATAAACAGGGTGTTCGCAGCGAACACCTTAATAATCGATTTTTTACCATAGGTTTAAATGGCAGAACAATCGGTACATTGCAATTCACGCCACGCCACTGCTTTATATTACATTTGATAACCATCATTTGTCAAAAAGTAAAGTTTTCAGTCCCTTGCATGTCTAAGATTTGTATCAAATTTAGCCCAACCATTGCCAAAATTGCTCGTAAACGGTTTTAAATTGTAACCCCATGAATTAAGCACTATTTTTTTCAGACCATAGTTACAACTCAACAGTCTCACACTTTTTCCTCTTCTTTAATTGATCTGCTCAAGGGTTATCAATTCTTTGTTGTGATGCTCAAAATCTAATGATACAGAGAGCGTTACAGACCGTTATAAGATCAAACGCATGCTCATACTTTAATCAAAGAGATTAAGGGGGAAATTAAACTTTTGTTTTTGTTTTAGACCCTTAAAGTATAATGCCAGATTGCAGCGGTGAAGTATTTAATTTTCTGTTACCTTCATCTTCACATTAAAGTATATGGGTAACTGTTGTTACTTGGCACGTTGAAACGCTGCCACGTGTTTTTCTTCCGTATTCTTTCCATTTTTTTAAACTTTTTTTTTGTTTTCTTCCGCATTTTAAACGGTCTTCGACCGAAAAGCTTCTTTGCTCCGTGCCGTGAGCCGTCTCATTTTCCTGCTTAGCCGCACGGTACACTCTCTGTCGTTCTTCCCCTGCGAAATAAAGACCTCCTATCCCTCTGGGATTGGGGTGTAGTTTTTGTTCCCCTCCCTGCTTCCCGCGGACGGACCAATACGAGAATGTACATTTTTTACAGCCCGGGACAATTCATCTTTCTCTCCTCCCTTGCGTTTTTCCCCCCCTTCCCCGTGTAACACGTCCTCCTTCTTGCATTATTCCATTTCTGCGCTGCATTGTCGAATCTCATCGGAATCTTTTGCGAGTGGAGCTCTGGTGTACTCAGCTACTCACTGCGGGTGCTGCACTTTAAGAATTTAAGTGAAAGAACACTGGAAATGAACAAGTATCGAGATAAAGTCACCTTCCGGCCAAAGTATCAAAAGCGCCCTGCGACGTTTAAAAATTTCCGACGCCATTTTATTCTTTTAACAGAGAAATAGTTGGTTGAATCTGCTTGCAAATTTCACTGAATTTTATCGGCAGCACAACGAAAATTCGGTGAAATTTTCGGACAGCTTCGTTGAACAATTGAGGAGCTTTCCGGAAAAAGGGCACTTAGCAAAAAATCGCGTTTGAAAAAAATGCATTTGAAGTTTCTATCATTACTCTCTGGCCACTGACTGTGACTTACGTTCTGGATGGGGAGTCCAAGCTGCGATAAAGGTCACCATCAGTGCCCAAAAAGTAACTATGTATACTTAAAATGCATTTTTCTTACACGCGATTTTTTGCTATGTGCCTTTTTCCGGAAAGCTCCTTAATTTCTCTGTAAAAAAATGGAATGGCGGCGGAAATTTGTAAACGTTGCATGGCGCTTGTGACACTTTGGCCGGAAGGTGACGATATTAGGACTACACGGAAATCGACGTGATTAAAGCGCTAATAGTCTTGAACTTGCCGTCTCGAAGCCGCCAACACGCCGAAAATGGCCGAAGTTTGGGAAACTTGTTTGGCTAATGACGTCACCTAAAGCTTATCATCCACCACGTTGGTAGGTCAACAGCCAAAATTAGGGTGATGACTGCTGCTCCCTTATAATTGTCCATAAGGAATTGTTGAATCCTCGAAAGTAAAAGCTTCTTATTATTTTCAGCTGATCTACATGAGTCAAGCATCAAAACACGATGCCGTGACCAGCGCAACTGACCCTTCTTGCTGGAAGGATACGATATTGGCTCCGGCGGGACTTACCGTAGTAGGTGGTGCCCCAGCCGACGACGGTGGGGTTGCGGCCGGTGAAGGGCTCGTCCTTGAGGTTCTCGGTGGGGAGGCAGACCGGGATGACGTAGCGGGAGCGCTTGACCGGTCGGTCGAGGACCAGGACGGCGATGTCGTTGTAGAACCCGACCCGGCTGAACCGGGGGTGGGCCCGCACCTCCAGGACCCCGTAGGTCTCCGGCGCTGAAGGCTCGTCGTCTCGCCGCAGGTCGATGTCGCCCAACCGCACCGTGAACTGCCGTGCGCTGAAACTGATTCGAACACGTGGTGGATACGTTTTCACGTTATTTAGAAACCATAGCTGCTGCTTTTATGAGCTTGTTTTGCCTAATTTCTTTAAATGCACCGGAAAAAAAAAAAAAAAAACACATTGGATCTAGAGTCCAGACTCTTGAAAACATTGACAGTAAAAAATACTCTTGATTCAATCGGATTTTTGCTTGAACGAAATCCGCTTAAATTAAGAGGCTAGGTTCTTGATTTAAGCTAGATTCTGATTGAATCAAGAGTACTTTTTCTTGTCCATGTTTTTAAGAGTCTGGACTCTATATCCAATGTGTTTTTTTTTTTCCAGTGTGAGTACGAATTAATTTACATCTTATTTCGATACCACTATTGTTGCACGTAGGAGCTCCTTTTGCCTACCCTCTTTGAATCACGGCGAATATGTATACAAGTTATTTCGATACTACAATTGCTGCTCGTGTGAGCTCGTTCTGCCTACTCTCTTCAAATGAAGGCGAATTCATTTATACATTGTTCAAATACCATTTCTACTACTCTTAAGAGATCATTAATTAATTATGAATTTTCTAAACCCACCTCGTTTGCAAAAGTATACTCTTCCTTTTACGTTATTTAAGGCGCCCTCGTTAATTATCGTTTCAATTTAAGTAACTACTCGCTATTAAAAATCATTTTTAGGTTAAGTTACGTTAAAAATAGTTTTAAGTTGAACTTGGCTTGCCACTCAGGTCGATACATACGGTCTCTGGCGGTTGTCCCGCGTGCAGTGGGCCGCTGTGAGAATGTGTCGCTCCCCGATGAGGGATCCTCCACACCAGAATTCGGTTCGTCGCGGGCCGTGGAGAAATATGGCTGCCATCCACGGCCAGCGTCCCGGGAGTGACTCTTCTCCTCCGACCACCCGGAACTTAGGGACCTCCGGTTCGCCGCAGTCTACATCAATTCGAACGCAAATCAAAACAAGTGAGATTAAACCAGAAATGGTGGAAAATGAATGAAAAGGGCGTAACATTGCGCTGGTTACAGAATTGTGTTTGAATGCTACACTGAAAAAAAAAAAAAACACATTGGATCTAGAGCCCAGACTCTTAAAAACATCGACAAGAAAAAATACTCTTGATTCAATCGGATTTAAGCTTAAATCAAAAACCAAGCCTCTTTATTTGAGCGGATTTCCTTTTGATTTAAGCTTAAATCCGATTGAATCAAGAGTATTTTTTCTTGTCAATGTTTTCAAGAGTCTGGACTCTAGATCCAATGTGTTTTTTTTTTTCAGTGTAGATTCTTGTAGATCACAAAAAAATAATACGATCCGTCCAAACAGTATCTTCCTACGTTCGATATTGACTGATATATCACGCTTTGAAAATTCCGTCTATGACTTCATTCAACGCGGTGGGGACACCTTTTTAGTTTCTTCTACCTTACTATACTCATTTGCACTGACCACTCAACATGAAACTCGGATGAAAGCAAGGTGGAAGAAATCAAAGGTGTCACTACCGCGGTGGATGACGTCAGAAACTGAAATTTTCATTGCAAGATAGCTTTGCTAATATAATAGAGAGTTGCTGTTTTTCTTTAGCTATAGCTAATTTTTCTTAGCTAATCTACAATAATCAATTATCAAAACATAACTCTATGACCAACGCAACTGACCCATTACTTACATCTAGAGTTCTGAGGACAAACCGTACATAAAGCACGTCACGCTGAAAGTCAAATTTTTTTTTACCCTCTCTCCCTACAACCCAGCAGTGACGCGTGTTTACACTACTCTAGAAAAAAAGTTAAGGCTTTCCTTGGCCTCCCTCCCAACAAAGTAGGAAAGTCATTAGCAAACAGGGCCGGATTTATCTACTTGCCGCCCATGGGCCGCCTGTATTTTGCCGCCCCCTCTCATTCGTTTTGAAACATCAATAACAACCATCAAGTGAACGTGCCGGAGGGAGAGGGGTGCATAAGACGCATTTACTCGTGTTGGACACATTTTTTGCGAAAACCCTGTCAACACTACCTGCAAAAATTCACGGAACTCGGCGCGAAAGTTAAGCTCCGTAAACCTATCTCTGTGTGGACAAGGCCTTCCATTTATGAGGAATGGACAGAAAAATTAAGAACAAACATGTGATCGCACTATGTTTGACGCAATGCGTGAAGTATTCCCGCAGGCTTGCAGGCGCTATGCGTTTCACGCCGACCGCTGCTGAACGCACTGTGTTTGACGCAATGCGTGAAGTATTCATGCAGCCTTGTAGGCGCTATGCGTTACACGTCGACCGTTGCTGACCGCGTTGTGTTTGATGCTATGCGTGAAGTATTCATGCAGTCTTGTAGGCGCTATATTTGCTACAGGCCGACCGCCGCGCCGAGGCGAGGCGAGGGCGTCTTTTTTTCATCTCAAGTCCTCGTTATCATTGCTCTCTGCGCTCCAGGCCAAATTGCGTGTTTGGTTTCTCTCATAACTCGACTAATTAAAGGTGCTGTCTCTTTTATCACCGCAAAATGACAAAAATTAGAAATTACCATACTCTCAGGAAATGAAAGATTTAGTCGTCTTTTTCCGTTTGTAATTTTTTTTTACACCTAAATTAAAAAAAAATGCATTTGCCGCCATGGGCCGCGGCTCATGTGGCCACCCCCTAAATCCGGCCCTGTTGGCAAACTTCTGTTTTACTCGATTTTTGTTTGTTTTCCATTGATAATGAAAAGAAGGAAATATTTTTTAAAAAAATATCCCGAACATTTTTTTGAGTGACTTAGAAATTCTACTATCCGTATTTTCTCGCCTTCTGAGCCTACGGAGCACCTTTTTGGATTAGGGCGTTTTTTTTTTGTCCAAGAGAGACTCCCTAGTGGCTAAATATGTGGCCGCAGGGATTTTAATAGCATAGCTGATGGTGAAAGATGAAAAAAGTACCTTCAGAGAGGAATACTGAGGAGGCGTCGGTCGTATGGATTGGCACTGACACAACTGGTGGTGCTACATTTGATGGCGCGCTGTTGATTACAGGACGTCTGGTAGTCGACGTTGTATACTGAGGCTTCTGGTGCTCTATTAATACTGGCCGTTCTGTCAGGAATCTGAAACCGACAAATTTGTAAAATGATATTGGCATTTGTGGAGGGGGAGGAGCGGGTAAAGAAATAAGTTTCGGTATTAACCCCCCCCCTCCCCTGCTGATCAATTAAAATTCTCAGGTCTTTAGCTTTTTCCATCACAATGCGTGTCTAGAGGTTTACAAAATTTCAGTATAAGGGACAAGTTTTGCAGATTTTGATGTTTATTTCATCACTTGTTAAAATGTAAGGGATGCCTCCAGAAGAATATTTTAACAGGAAACCATTGGAACCACTTTTAAAACCTCAAAGTTTCGCATTAACGGCGTTAAAAGCTTTCGAAGTTTCCAAATTTTGTCCGACCTCTCTTATTGACCAATTGTGCGACGGCTCATACGATTGACTTTTTTTTTTATCGGAGCACTTACTGTTGGTTTGAGCAAATGGCCCCTCCAAAAATCGATACATTTCCATAGGTTTAAATGGAGAAAAGGCAATGTTGCCAATTTGCTGGATCCGGCAATGGAGATGTCGGACATGAAAATTTCGACTAAAACTGCAAATTTTGATGTTTAATTCGTCACATGTCAAATTTTAAGGGGTGATTTTGGAAGATAATTTCACGAGGAACCAATGGAACCACTTTTAAAACCTCAAAGTTTCGTATAAGAGGAGTTAAAAGCTTTCAAAGTTTCCAAATTGTGTCCGACCTCTCTTACCATTGTGCGACGGTTCATACGATTAACTTTTTTTATCGAAGCACTTACTGCTGGTTGCCCTTGGTCGGACAGCACACGCCAGGGACGAAGAGAGACTTAAAGCAGATGGACTGGCGGAGGTTGTTGAGGTTGAGGAGGAGCTGGGGGCAGTTGCTGAGATCCTGGCAGTTGCCGGCGATGCCGTCGGGGGTGGTGCACGGGCGGATGGCGCCCTCCCCGTTCCCGCTCTCCTGGACGACCACTTTCCCGGAGGAGCTGAGCTGGACCAACGGCGCCACCCCCCGCACGATCGGAGCAATCGTGTCCGTCATGTTCCGGCCCAGGACGTTCTTGCTGATCGTGTACAGTGCGTTGGGCAGCTCCTCGCTCGGTTTCGCCTGAAATCATACAGGAGACCATTCAAATTATGTTTGGACTGAAAGAAATACATAGGTTAAAGGGTCATATTTAGGGGCTGTTCATGTACTACGTACGGCACTTNGGGGGGGGGTGTCTCAGCTTCTCTCACATAGCGGTACGAAGGGGCGAAGGGGTCAAGCCGAGTCTTACGCAAAGATATTATAACAGTTAGATATGCGGCTAGGGCGCGGGGTAACCTGGACCTGCTAGGGGGTACATGCGCCTGGCGGATGGGCAGCGTGTTTTACGCAGAAACGAATTCTCCTGTGGGAGAGGAGGGTATGAGAGAGTTCGCCTCTGCGTAAAACACGCTGCCTATCCGCCAGGCGCATGTACCCCCTAACAGGTCCAGATTACCCGCCCTAGGTAAGCCCGTACCGCATATCTAACTGTTACAGTATCTTTTGTCTTACGTAAGCTTTCCGCTGTAAAAAAAGGGCTATTTGTTTAAAAAATTAAAAAAAGCACTTTATCGGGGTTGTGATCTATGAATACCTGCCATTTCAAAACAAGACTTGTTGATCCCCGATTTTCTTAAAAAAAAAAAACGCCCCTAAAAGTCCCCGAAAGAGGGAATAATACTAAAAATCATGGTTTGTTTCCTTAATCATGAGGACTCAGAGGAGGCACCCTGCGTTGGAGTGCGCGAAGCGCCCACTGGGGACTTGCAGAGCCGCGAAGCGGCCAGGGGGCACACTCCCTAGCTATTTACATCGCTGTAGAACGTAAATTAAAAAATAAAGCAGAGTTAGGTAAATGAATTGGGATCTGATAATCCTTGGAGTTTAACGGGATCTTACGATGCGATCGTTTGAGAGTACTTACGACTGTTGGTTGTGGTTTGATGTGCTGGATGGCGGACTTGTCGGCCCGGGTGTAGTTGACGAGGTACCTTCCGACGGTGTTAATGGCGCCCAGGGTCTCGGAGAGGGTGGCGATGGCCTGCGGGGACAAGTAACGCGGCTCCCCCTCCGGCCCGAACTGCTCCTCGCCCTGCGCCGAGTTGGCCAGGATGTGCCGCTGCTCCTCCACCGGCGTCTCCGGCCGCGTCGCATCCCAATCCGACGTCAGCCGCGACTGAAATCATATCATCATGAACCCTCGAGGTTTTCAAGGATTTTTTTTCTTTCTTTCTTTATGAAATGAAAAATCTATGAGCAATCGTGAACGCTGATAACGCACAGGGTGATCCGAAAGTTCCGCACCACCCCTATTACCCTAGGTAAAAATTGGCTATGGAAGCAGGGAAGCTGCGTTCCAAAATAGGAGTTGAAGCGCTGGGTGCAGAAAAAGTTTTCTGTGTCACGGTGTTCCAGAATCTCTGCTAACGTTTCATCCATTATAATGAAAGCAAATGTATGGAATTCGTTGGAACTTTCACTGCATTTCCTTTATGATTTTCCAATACTGAAAATGAAAAATTCGGGGGCTTGATGCTAAAGATACGGGACAATTGTGCAGAGAAGATGCCATGATCTAGGTGTAGATGCTATGCGAAAAATTTATCTCACGGGCATCGTTCTTCACTTTAAATCTCACTTGAATTGAAGCTTATTTATTGAACGTATTTAAAAAGTTTTAAATAAAAAAAGAACAATAAGTTAAGATCGGCCTCTATAATTTTGAAGGTACGGCTGTGTGTACATGCTAATGAATTTCGGGCGTGCTTACTGTAGGATTTTTTGCAACGCTCGTGCAATTTCAGTCAAATTTCTAAGTTTTGTCAGATTTGAAGAAGGCTTACTCTCAGTATCCCATCATTGACTGCCCTCTTGCTCTCTTCTGTCCCCGGAACAACTCTCACAAATCGATGCGACGCGACGCGTCGATGACAAAAAACGCCTTCAAATACACTTGATACCACAGTCGTACTCCCGGCGCAGATCGCTGAAGTAGCACGGCGCTTCGAAACAATGAACGCAGGAAGGTTATCGCACAATTACTTTTAATTATTCAGGAATCTATAATTCAACTGCCGGCGTTTTAATCCCTGCTCGCGCTTGACCATTTCCCATGAACGTTGTATACTTAGAATTTTTTCCTAATTATCCTATGGTCATGGACATCTGAACAATCATCAGGCATTTGATGTTGTAAGATTCCTTTTCATGTTTTGAGTCGCTTTCCCTCTGTAAAAAGGTTTTTCTCCATTCAGTCAAGTTTCCTGATTTTTCTTCTTTGTGTACGAAAGCTCTGTGAAAATTTCAAAGAATTATGTTGATTTTTTTTTCTTTTAAAAAACAAAAATAGAAGAAGAGATTGCTGAAAACGATATACGTGGTTTTGGAGTTTTGCCGTCGTATTAAGTATGTTTAAAAACATGCTTTTATTGCATTAGTATAGTTTTACATTAAATTCTAACGCTACGCGTTTGGAGGACCAATATTATGGCGAAACTAGCGCAAAAACTGAAATGTAATTTTCTCCTCATTTCATTGGGAAAAGGATGTACACGCCGCGCCGCGCCGGTAAGTCCTGAATTCATCTTTCATACAAGATATCCGCGTCCACAGTAAATTAACTTCGGTTACGTGGATCTATGGTAGAAACACTTGTTGATAACTCCTTTTTAGGAGTTAGTTTCCAAACTTCCCGTTGTGTGAATCGTTTTCTGTGCAAGGTTTTGAACATTCCTGATTCGGGCCCATTTTAACGGCCCATTTACCATACTTACGGTAAGCGCTTACAGGATTCTGGTAATTGCGACCATCGTATCTTTTGATAATTACCGTACTCATATCACTGTCGCTAATTTTTTTTCTTTTTTTTCAGTAATATCTTCGTTACTACAGGACGCAGAAACTTAGCGTTTTGACAGATTTCATTGTTCCGCCGCCAATAAAATATGGATGTCAAACATCCTGATACATCTGTATGACTTTCACAACCTACGAATCCAATTTCATAACTTAGAAGACTACTGACCTGTCGCCCCGAAGATCGAGATCTCCTGGGTCGCTGACCCTCTCCGCTCCACGCATCGTCCTCAAATCGGAGCGCTGCTCTTCTTGACCTGTCATGACTAGTATTGGTGAAAATTTGATAACTATGGGCATCATGGTCCTGTAAATTGTCTAGGGGACCACACACGGGCCAACAGGTCTTTAGGGAGCGGTCATTGGATGGCTCCGGAAAAAGTTGACTGGAGATGTCACCTGTGGACCATTCTGCCTTGTCAGCTGAAATTAAAGAACGCATACTTGAATTCATGATTGGATAGTCGTAAATGTAATGGACGCAGGTAAAAAGATTTTTATGGTAGAAAAAAATAAAATGGGTTAACTATAATTCAGCTCAGAGAAGTTAACTCTGCATCATTTGACGTGAAAAACTTTAAAAACCACTAAAACTTCTCTGGCGTTGTCGCCAGCTTTAGAAATGATTGATTTTAAACACTTATGAAATTATTTTTAGCAAAGCGTTACGTAATTTTTTCCAAAAGCGTGCAGGCTCCTGTTTTGTGTGCGTTACAAGTGAGAGGAGGGAGAAAAAATATTTTACCAATGATTCCGGGGTTCCCGGAATTAATTCATATTTTTCAAAGTTCCGAGAAAAATTCCGGGGAAAATTTTTGAAAAACGCCTGGATGTAGTTCCAAGGGGTTGTCTACGTTGATTTAAAAAAAATCAACAAATTTGATCAAATAATCGGTCGAGGTGAGGAATAACCCCTAAATTTCGAAAAATTCCAAAAACAACTGAAAATCCCGGGAAAACTTTCGACCATTTGAAAAGTTCCGGAATTCGGGATTAATGCCAGGAAATGGCAGCACTGAAAAAATCCAATTTTCAGCATTACGTATATTACAAGCGGCTCCTCATTACGCCTCGCTCATATTTATGCCCACCAGAAAAAGCCCGAAAGTAACTCTCACCCTGCTTGTTAACTCGATTTTGATTCGTAATCTGTCGGACGGACAAGGAACCGGGGGAATCCTGGGTGCAGATTGCATGGTCCTTCCGTATTGCGCCTACAACTAGTCTGTATGCAACGAACACGAAGAATCCGATTTGTCATGCTCACACGCCTAATGGCCCCGCTACCCGCTTTGATCGCTTATTTCATAACACTTGACGAGGCAATGAACGTCAGTCATCGGCGTTCGATAAAAATCGGTTGCCAGACTGAAAATATTGATTTTATTTCCATTCAAGACGCAAAACATTTTATGATTAATGGGGCTTCCTCCTTTGATAAGCTTCAAAATGAATACTATTTTGGTACAGCAAACCAATAAATGGAGAGAGCACAGTAAAATTCGTCGTCAGAATTTCAGCTAACGATCCTTCGGCTTATCCTCGATTAATTAACGATGGTGTGAAGATTGGGGGCAATTTACTGCAATTTCGATTTCAGTTGCTCAGTTTTTTTGTTACCCGTTTCGTCTTCCTCTCTGTTACCACTGTATATCAGTATAAAATACAATGAGATACTTGTGCAATTTTTGACAATATCTTTTACCAAGAAAATTGGGTTTAGAACGGAACCTTAATAATTATACGGAAATTGGTTTCCCCTAATTTTTTCCACCAAGTGGGGCACGCCCCTTGACCGCTTTGCGGTTCAACCCCCCGAAGCGCTTTGCGGTTCCACCCCTGTAAGCGCTTCAAGCCTAAGGCGTTATGCGTTACTCTTATGATGTTATATTGTAGAGTAAGATTTGGGAAAATGACCCGAACACTTGTATAAATATGAATGACCCAAAATACATACCCTCAAACGTTCTACAAATCTACAAGTACCCTCAATAAAATGATCGATTAGCTCTAGCAAATGAATCATTTATTTTTCTTTATTCCTCACCCTCCTCTCCCTTCCACTCCTCCTTCTCCCTCCCCTCCCCCCATACCATCTCCCTCTCCCTCTCCTTCTCTTTCGTTCCTCTTTCTTTTTCTTAAGTCCCTACATTTTCCTCCTCCTCTTCCTATTTCTTTTCATTCCTCCTCCACTCCTTTTCTATGGTTCCTCTTTTATCTTCCTCTTCTTATTTTCCTCTCACTATCTTCATGTTATCCTTCTCCCTCGTCTTTTTCTACTCTTGCTTTGTGTCAAATTTCCTCCCTGTCCCAGTATTGTATTTTCTCCTCCATCCTGTTCTCTTCAACCCCCCCCCTCTTAATCCTTCTCTTCATTTCTTTGTCTTCTTTCCTTCTTCTAATTTTCCTTCCAAATCTTCTAGTGCCTGTTTTATTTTTTCCTCCCCTTCCTTGCCTCCTTTACCCTTCTACCTCTAAGTACCCACCCCTTGTCTTCTTCCTCTTGTTCTTTCTAATCTCCTTCTTCCTCTAAGTACCACTCCCTTGCCTCCTTCCTCCTATTATTTCTAATTCTTTATTTCCCTTCAGCTTCTCTTGTTTCTTTTCCTGTACTTCTCAGTCTCCTGTTCCCTCTCTCCCCAGGATGTCCTCCTCCTGAGCGGCCGGTGCGGTGCCAGAAGGACGTGGGTCCCGAATCGGGCGGAAATTCGCGCGCGAATCGGGGCGTTGCGGCGGCGGAGAGGGGGGGGGCGGGGGCCGCGACTTGGAGCTGAGACGAGGAAATTCCATGATGTAACACTTGAGGTGGGAGACATGTTGCTCTGCTATGATATCACTGGGCGCCGCGCCGCCTGGCCTGGCGTCGTTACACTGTTACACCGACACGGTGGTGTGCTGTGCTGTGCTGTGGTGTCATGGTTCTAGTGTGGGCTTTCCATAACTTTCACCGTTCGGACGCGATGTAAGCACCAGAGACCTTCGATCCACACACAAATACCCGGATCCCGGGCGAAAGTAAACGATTGTCTGCCGCCGAGTGCCCAATGCCATGTCCACTCCACCGCCACCGCCCCCGCCATCACCCAACTCCCGGGTCAAAAACCAGGGGGCAGCAGCTCAAATTGAAAATTCATGACCTTTTCCTTCATCTTCTTCCCCATTTCATCCTCTCCTCCTCCTCCTCCTCCTCCTTCTCCTCCTCCTCCTCCTCCTTCTGCTTCTCCCTTCCCCTCTCCCTCTGTTCTCACTCTCCTCTCCCCTCTCCTTTTCTTCCGCCTATTCCTTTTCTTCCATCTTTTCCTCCTCTTCCTCCTTCTCATCTTCCTTCTCATCTTCCTTCTCATCTTCCTTTTTCTTCTTCCTCTTCTCCTTTTTCTCCTTCTTTTTCTCTATCTTACTTTCCTTCCTCCTCTCATTCTTCTTCTCCTGATTCTTCTGCTACTTCTCCTCCCTCTCCTTCGTCTCCTCCTTCTCCTTCCTCTCCTGCTCCTTCTTCTCCTGCCTCTCCTGCTTCTCTTGCCTCCTTCTCTACTTCTTTTTCTTCTCCTCTTTTTCCACCTTCTTCTCATTCTTCTTTTTCTGCTCCTCCTTCTTCTCCTTCCTCTCTTTATTCCTCTCCTTCTTCTCCTCCATCTTCTCTTCCTTCTCCTCCCTCTCCTCCTTCTACTTCTTCTCCTCCCTTCTCCTCTTTCTCTTCCTCCTCTTCCTTCTCCTCATTCTCTTCCTTCTCCTCATTCTCTTCCTTCTCATTCTTCTTCTCCTTCTCCTCCTTCACTTTTACTCCTTCTTTTTCTCTGTTTTCCTCTCCTTACGGCTCTCCTTCCTCTTCTCCTTTAATAAAATCACTTCCTCTCTTTTTGCGATGGTGGTAAAATTAACTTAATTGTAAGAGATCCCACCTCCTTTTTTAGTCTTTCTCATCAACCATACAGGGCTGATTACGTAAATAGGATTGTTACTTCTTATGAGGAATAAAAGTCGCAAAAAACAAAAGTTTCGGACAAAACAAATTTGCAAACAGTTCGAAACAAAGGTCGCAAAGTTTTCGGATCGCGCATCCGGAAACTTGAGGTCTACCTGCCGAGGCGAGGTTCAGGTCAATCATCTGAAACACTTCGGTATATACCAAAGTAATTCAGATGTGTGAGCTGAACCCTTCGGTAAATACCGGAGTACTTCGGGTGTGTGACCCGAACTTCGGCGGGTGGACCTCAAGTTTTCGGATGCGCAATCCGAAAACTTCAGAGATCCATACGACCTCAACTTCGGGTCCCACGCACGAAGTTTTTTTCTCCGAGTAGAGGCAACAAACAAAGCACGCTTTAAAAACCCAAGAAAATAACTCAAAATTTTTACGCAATGCCTTTTGTACAAAAGAGAGTTGCAGAGACAAGACATGTCGGCACACACAATCTCGCATAGCTGACTGTTACAAAATAATGATGTTTAGTGGCCTACCTCGAGAATTGAAGGAAAAACAGTAAAGCTCTTCACCTCCTTCTTGACCATTCTGCTTCTGTTGACTTTTCAGTCAAAGAACATACTGATCCAAAGGTTAAACCGTAAAATTTCTGTCTTGGAAGGAACTGCATTTGGCAACATATGTAATGAGAGGAGAAGAAGAGACAAGAGCGGCTCGTTTGCGCGGGGACTGATTATGGATAGTTAACATGTTACGCATTTCTCGTAAATCTCGAAGTGGAAAGGAGATGACATCTGTCATCAGTCGTTGATAGTTGGTCATTCGTCGGACTCCTTTCTGTCAGTCGCCGCTCCGTTTGTTTCGTCTACGCCTCTGCCTGCGTCGCTTGATCTTTCTTTTTATTTTCGTTTTCAGCCCGAACGGCTTTCTCTCTTGCACGTGTCGCTTTATCGCCTCTCGGTACTCCATTTACGCTCCAACTTTTCCCTCCCGAAAGCACCACGCTTTTTACCACCATTCAGCGCGATAACGCCGATTTTTAGTGGGATGCAAGACAAAATATTACCATCAGCAACGAATATACATATTGTCACCTTCCGGTCAAAGTATCACAGGCACCATGTGATGTTTAAAAATTTCCACTGCCATTTTATTTTTTACAGAGAAATTGTTCAACGAAGTTGTCCGTGTAGATTAAGTTCAGTGTTTTCAGACAGATTCAACCAACAATTTCTCTGTAATAAAATAAAATGGCGGCGGGAATTTTGAAACGTCGCCTGGCGCTTGTGATACTTTGGCTGGAAGGTTATAATACTTTGGAGATCTCGCACTGCTGACTTAGTGACTTCCCTTTATTGTAAAAGTTACTTTCGGATGTGTATGCTCAAATTCACCCAATGATGCCCGATGACCAAAGAGTTAGGCAATCCTGGTTTAGCAATCTCAACTTATTTGCAAAAACGCATCTCAGGTCATCGGCTCTAATACTTTGGAAAATATTTCTAAAGGTTGAGATCGCAATGGTGACATATATTTGTAATTAAAGGCAAGTTCAGCTCTGAACGGATAATCTATACTTATTGGTATTCACTTTGTCTTTCATCGAACGCTGCGCGTTGCAGGATCACCTAAATGAAAGATACAGCTATTTCAACTTCGGAGTAGCTAGTATTGCATATCAATCGAATTCAAGGAGAATCATATTCCTTCCTCTCAAATCAACTAGTCGAGACTCAATACGGAAGAAAGATGCAGTATAGTAGTTGTAGCGCTGGCTCTATGGTCAGGAGGCCTCCGGTTTGATTCCCAAACAGGTTACTCGCGTTTAATTTGCATAGAAAATGTAGCTAAGTATAAAAAGTATAAAAAGTGGACTTTCTGGAGTACCTACAGTCCTTCCTCTACTATGATCTTCATTTTAAGAGATTTTTTTGACTTGGGATGGATTTTAGACAGAAATCATCATCAGAATCATGGCCTATGGTCTTCATTTTAAGAGCTTTTTTTGGCTTGGGATAGATTTTAGACAGAAATAGAGCTTAATCATGTTTCTTGGAAAATTTAAACCAGGATGGTCTGAATTAGTAACATCATAACAAAGTACAAGTTGATGTATATTTCTCACTGAGCTTCTTTTTAACTCTTGCGCCAAAACGAATATGTTAGGATACGCGCTCAATTTTTTTTCCTTGAAGTGTTCTTATCTGAGGAAATACAGAGCCGCAGCCGGCATACTAGAAGGGCAACTTTGTAATACATTTAAACGAGTCAAGCTTTTTTCAGAAAATTGACAATGTTATGATAAAAATCAGCAATAGTTCACTTCATCAGCACAGTAGGTGACGTTGATTAAGTTAATGTGTGAGCGAAACAAACCAAGCAATGAACACCAAGCGAATTTCAGTACAACGCCTGGATACAAGTGATACAACTATTCGAGCTTCACGGATGTCCGTGTTGCATAAGCACAGAAGTTGAGGCGCTTTCACTCTGACGGCACTCACCACTTCATCCGCGGCTCGACGCGGCACCGGGTTAAACTGCATAAGATTCCAAAATGACCGAGTCAGACAAAGCCTTCAATTCTTCGTTTATACCACCAAAATATCCACCGCGCCCAGTCAAATTAAACATTTGACTCAAAGGAGGGGTGNCCCAATTTTCATCTGTATACGAGCGAAATTGACGGCGCTACAAAATTAAAACCGATTTTGCGCTTAAAAATTCGGGGGGCCCCTGCCCCCCGAATATTGGGCCGATCGGCCTGAAACTTGGCATGCTTTCTCTTGACACTTATACGTAACGAATCACAGCAAAAAAAGTTCCGGATTAGGTGGGGCCGGAAATGGCCCAAATCGCCACCCCTCCTTTTTCTTCTGTGCTATCTTATAAATTACTAGCATTCAGAAAATAAATATCTTTACATTATCTATCGAGAAAAGGTAGGGGAAGCACTGAAGCAGCACTATCCTTGGTTACCTTGCCACGCCACTGCACTGCATGATTAAAATTAAGTAAAATTATAAATCACTTACATTTTAGGTTTAAAGTTAGCTCAGCAGAAAGAACCAATGAGAAGCACGAAGCAATCAGTCCAGCTGTGAAAAAAAAGAAGAACATTTCTTAACGTCATAAAAAATTAAGAGTTTCAATGTGTGAGATAACTATGTAAGTCAGGTCGCAGTGGAATGAAGTAAGTACTAATTTCATACAAAAGTGGACCTTCTATCTCCGATCTTTCATAGTACAGTAATGATGTGATCAGAGACTGTGTTTCACTTTGTTCACCTTTTCCCAGTTTTTCCTCAAAAAAAAGGAAAAAAATGAACCGCTTTGAAAAGAAACATTGTATTTATCAAAAAGATAGCATGAAATGAGAGTGATCACCGTAACCAGAAAAATTTAGGGATATATTTTTTTCGTCACATAAATATTCAGTGTTTCTTGATGCAATACGTCGCCTCCTTTGATGTAACGAGGATCTTCCCTCATCGTATTCAAAAACTGCCGAAGGTGCCAAGTGAACAGTTCTCTTGCGGCAACTAATTCTATGTTTCTCTGTGATTGTTCCTGCACCTATCCTTCGTGGCAACATTGGAACAGTATTTTATTATTCAAGCAGAGAAAACATATTTTAAAGACCCCACACTAAAAATATAAAGGAATATGTAATCGGGTGAGGCAGGTCGAAGGTCAACGCTATACTTTTCGCCTAATGATGTTGAACATTTAATCCAATAAAATTCACTTGGTGATGACTGATGAGAGTCGAGATGAGCACCTTGCTAGGCAACGTTTTGCAACATTATTGCTAACTTTTTGATCATCAGTCATCATTGGGCGAACAAGAGCGTTGGCCTTCGAAAGTAACTTATACCCTCCAGGAAAGATTGCACCGCATGCGGGATCTTTATTGTCTATGCAAGGTGGGTTGGTTATTTTCGTTCAATATTCTCGTTTTTTTTTCTTCTTTTTTTCTAACCTTTTTGAAAAGTAAGTACCTCGTTTCGTTTGTATTCTTGAGACTTTTCTCTCTTTCTTTCTTTTTTTCTGTCTTTAAAAGTTTAGACACCTGGCGAAATGAAATCATCGTACTTCTACAACTACTTTTTCCCTTTCATCCTTCCTTTCTTTCAATCCGTACAAACGTGTTCAATGGCTCTCTTTCTCGTGAACCTGCGATGGTTACACTGAACGAGTTCCTTGCCATGTGGGAGTTTATCCAAATAAGCTGACAGCCGTGTCTCCGTGTCGATGATAATATTTATGCAAAGGAAAGTACTAGGAAGAATGAGCCTCATCAGTCTTATTTCATTTTCGTTCGTTTTTTTCTCCTCTCGCTCCTAGCCACGAGTTCCTCCTTTTCAGTTTTAGATCTTTAAATAACTGATTATCGCCGGTGAAAGTTGCACTTAACATAATGCGGTGGCGTCAAGTCATTAACAGGAGTCGGCAATGAGTCATCAGACTTTTCCAAAACGAATTTTCCCGGAATTAGACTAGAATTTAAAATGTAAAGAGTCGTTCATCAAATAGGTACGTATATAACTACGGAAATCGGATGTTTATCCTCCCCNGCTGTTTTTCCCCCCCCCCCCCGGCCTCTCGAGATGCAATCGTGACCCAGGTCTGCAACCCCCTGCTTTATGGACTTGGTATCATGGAATTTTCTCAAAATTTTGGTTTTATTACCATGTCAGAAATCGTCGCTGTTAGGCGCTGGATCCCCGTTAAATGAAAAATAGTTGCACAATACGTCGTCCGGAACGAAGGAATGTTATTCCATTTCAAAGTTGCAGATAAGACTCAAACAATTCAATTTTTGGTAAGGATAAACCCGCGAAATTATCATTGAAAATTGTTCTAATTTTTGTGCGTGATCAGAAGAAAAAACAATTAAAATTTCAGACAAAAATTCTCATGATTCTCCTTGAAGAAGAGAAAAACAATTTCGCAAGGAATTTGGCAACATTAAAATGAGGGGCCTGGAGGACAAGACGCATAAGTGCAGTTTTTGAAAAAAAAATGAGATTCCAATGATTTCAAGTAAAACTAGTCTTTATGGATGGTCTATAAAAAATTCGCTCCCAAATTCAAATTGTTAAGCATCAAACAGTCAGTTTAAACCTTATTTCCACCATAAGGATCCATGTAATTTCGAAACTTCAAACGCGTATTTCTAGCAATAGCAAAAACTGCTTTTATGCGCTTGTCCTCCAAGCCACTTAAATGTAGGTGGGTTCAGGGCCGGATTTAGGGGGTGGCCATATGGGCCGCGACCCATGGCGGCAAATTTAGGGGGCGGTAAATTTTTCGATTTTTTTAAATGTAGCTATACAGAAAAATCGGATTCAGAGAAAAAATTACAAACGAGAAAGGGTGACAAAATCTCTCATTTCCCGAGAGTATATCTCTAATTTTGTCGTCTTCCTGTGATACAACAGACAGCGACTTTAATTAGTTGAGTTAAGACAAAGAGAGAAAACGAACGCGGAATTTGGCCTGCGATGGCGCCGGCGCGGCTCAGAGAGCAATGATGACGAAAACTTGAGATGAACAGGAGAAACCCTAGGCGCGGCGGGGCAGTCGGCATGTAACACATATTAGCGCCTACAAGACTGCATGAATACTTCTCGCATTGCGTCAAAGACAGTACGATCGCTGCGGTCAGCAGCGGGCGGCGTGGAACACATAGCGCCTACAAGACTGCATGAATACTTCACGCATTGCGCCAAACACGGTGCAATCAGCGCAGCGCGGCGGCTGAAGTTAAAATTATGAATGCACATTTATGTTTGTGCTTTCATAATATTTTCGTTCGTTTCATGTAAATGGAAGGCCTTGTCCACATAGAGATAGGTTTACGGAACTTAACTTTCGCGCCAAGTTACTTGAATTTTTGCTACAGGGCTTTCGCAAAAAAAGTGTCCAACACGAGTAAACGCGTCTTATGCACCCCTCCCCTCCGGCACGTTCACTTGATGGTTTTTATTGATGTTTTAAAACGATTGAGAAGGGGCGGCAAAATACAGGCGGCCCATGAGCGGCAAGCAAGTCAATCCGGTCCTGGGTGGGTTCTTTTGGGAGGAAAATGACGAATTCGAGCAACGTCCGATGGCGATTACCAGAATTTGAATTTCCACTCTTCAATTATTACGCGCTGGCCGTATTCAAAACGAGAGATTCTCTGATTATGAAGGAGTTTCGATAATTTAGAGAGTGGATGGATGCCTGATTTCGATGAGTGGGTGGCGTGGTTGCGTGACGGAGTAAATGACGGCCGGCGGTGGCTTTATCCGGTAGATTTTGGCGGATACGCTCCGGAGGTTGCGCCTTCCCCGTTGCGGGAGACCACGCAAAGAAGAGCAGCTCCGCTTCAGACTCATTTTTGGCACTTTCTGCCTTGCTCTTGCTCTTGCTCTTACGCGGGCGGCCGGTCGCCGCACTCGCCGTCATATCCAACTCTTCTTGTCGGTTTCCTTGTCATATCTTGGAAACCGCCAAGCATCGCTGCCTGATTTCTCGGCTCTTCCTACTAGCGCTGTCTCCACTTACACTGGAAAAAACAACACATTGGATCTAGAGTCCGGACTCTTGAAAACATTGACAAGAAAATAAACTCTTGATTCAAGCAGATTTAAGCTTAAATCAAAAGGAAATCCGCTCAAATTAAGAGGATTGGTTCTTGATTTAAGCTTAAATCTGATTGAATCAATAGTGTTTTTTCTTGTCGATGTTTTTAAGAACCTGGACTCTAGATCCGATGTTTTTTTTCCAGTGTGTCAAAATGGAAGCTCAAAATGGCTCAAAGTCGGGACTTGATGCGATTGATGAGGATTGCCTTTCAAAATAGAACGGTGCGACTCTCTTTTGATCAGAGACAAGAGACCATCCACTGGCCTCTTGGCGACAGGTGGAAGCTTTTACTTTCGGGGATTCAACACCTCCTTATGGACAATTATATGTATGGGAGCAACAGTCATCACTCTTTTCTTGGATGTTGACCTACCTACACGGCGGATGGTGAGCTTCGGGTGACGTCATGAGCCAAAAAATTTCTCCAAACTTCGGCTTGTTTGCAATGGTTTGCAAGAAGAAACTGCCAACACGTTGTTGAACATCAACCACGTAGGTAATTCAACATTAGAATGCTGATTTAGTGACCACTTCATTCGACAGATTAATATGTTCGCTGGTACAAGTGTAAAAAAGACATAACTTCTATCTCAGCGAACTCAACCCTCCGATTGGCGCTTTTACTTTTACCGTGCTTCCACAGCGCGGCAAAACTAATCGAGATTCAAACGGGCCAATTATTTTTCGATTATTCTATCGCAATATATCGAATGACGTAGCTATTAAATCAGTCTATTGGAGGGGGGTGCGCGTCTTGGGAGGCCTAAAGTTTCAGCCGTACATGATCTATCACCAGGTTTCCGCACATGTTTCTATTTTCCCATGAACAAATTGCGGGTGCGTGAGGACTTGTCATTAGATGCACCCGGTTTTTAACCACGAAACCCTCATAAATTGGCACCACTGAGTTTCATCCATTTAGATGTATGTGAAACGATCGGCAAAGGGCAAGCTACCTCACCCGGAATCAATAATACATTCTGCCGCGGTAAGGAAAAACGTCGTATAAACAGTCAAACGTTGCCGGATTTCCTCCGATAAAATATTTATTTCAAAGAAAGATATGAATATTTTCCTTTAAAATTTTCAGATGCTTTGAACTGAAATCAAAATACATTTTTTTGAAAAATTGGAAGAGACAAATCTGAAGGTTTCCTTAAAAATCGTACTCTATCAAAGGAAATGTAGCAACGTCTGAAGGCTCATACGGCGTTCTTCCTTAGCACGAGGAAAAACAGTGGTACCAACTGGGCGTATGTCTGCCAAACAGAAATATGCGCATAATGACGTGAACCCTGTTATGCATATATTCTTAAGGGTCTCAAGGCTCATGTCTTTAATGAACATGGTTCCGTTTGGCAGAAATACGTCCAACTGTCGAGAATCGCCACCGGCTGGGAGGTTTCTACTCAGCGCCGTGAACTTGCGACCACGGCTTGTAATGGCTCAAATTAATGGACTG